ATCAGATACAGACCAGAATTTTTGAAGCAAGTAGAAAACTCTCCTGCTGTTGAAGAGGTGATTGAGTGTCTGATACTAGCAGGAATAGAGGGTTTATTGGACTGCGGAGGCACATTAACATTAAATAACAGAGGGAAATGATCAGAGAATCGAAAGTCGCATACTTCAGTAATAACAACAGGCAGCCCATGAGAAATCACAAGATCCAGTGTATGTCCGAGCTCATGTGTAGGGCTATGCACCAACTGAGTGAGGTTAAAGGAATCAATAGTTGTTAAAGAATCTTTAGACAAAAGGTCACCTGGACAACGTACATGAATGTTAAAATCACCAATGATTAAAAGCCTGTCAAACTTTGGCAAGATAAAACCCAGGAGATCAGAGAAATCCTGAATAAAGTCCTTATTAAATTTAGGAGGACGATAAACCACTGCACCCAGCAGTGGTTGAGAAAGTTCAATCACAAACAGCTGTAGTTCAAAACTTGAATAAGTGTCCACTTGCAGCTGCCGACATTGAAAGCTGTTTTTAAAAACACATGCCAGGCCACTGCCCCGACCTGTTGTATGAGGGGAGCTGAGGAATGAACAACCAGGTGGAAGAAGCTCAGAAAATGCGCAATGCTCACCTTCCTTTAACCACGTCTCAGTCAGCAACATGAAATCCAGCTTCTGTGATATAAAAAGTCATTCAGAATGAATGTCGTTAGTCAACGATCTAACGTTAATCAAACCCATCTGAATTGATAAAACAGGGTTTGGTGGCTGAGACACACATCTCAGCGGTCGGAGATTAGACCAATTTACACCCCTTTTCGAATGTTGCAAAAGTTGGCAATATGGATGAGGGGCCGAGAAATCCAGGCCTATGGGCTGAGGCCAACCACAGAGAAAGCCAGGCCAGCAAATCATGCTAGGATGACAACAACACCAGCCGGGTCCACAGCAATGGTCAGAGGCATCCGCAAAAGCAGAGTGCCAGAGGGCCTTTAGGCGAACAGCCACCCCACTACTCTTCCCTCGTTTTCTGGTACGTTTCCTTCGTGAGCAGACAAAGTAAGAATGCTGAAGATATGCTGGTATCTTTGCCAGTAATGGTGGGACAGTCTTTGAGTTATCCCAGCCCGTATAACTGGGACACTTTTTCATAGACGAATGAATATTAAGGCCCTCTCTTCTTGGTGGCATGGATGTGTTGGCCACTATCATGTTCTTTTAACTATGTGCCCACTGGAGCTTTGGGGGATTCATTTTTCATGTTTATCCTAAAAAAATACTCAAAAAAGAACTCACTCACCATATTTCACAATGAAAATGTTATTTGTTGTTAGTTTTTCCTCCTGTCTCGTGACGTGATCCCTTCCTATGCAGCTTAGTTGAAGATAGTGAGGTATCTGAGTTAGCCAGATCAAGTGGGTATGTTCCAAAGTTAATCTCTGTGGCACAATTTCCACTTTGTATCTTACTGTGTAATTCAGCAAGAGACACTATCTGGGAAAACACAAAGAGGAAAAGACGCTTTCTGTGACACAACCTCACTTTTGTGAGTTGTGTACTTCTGTGTACTGTGGAAGTCTCATTTTAGCTTTCAATGAACTTTAGAACATTTTAACTTGTGGGATTCATACCTGTGTTGAATCACATGAAATCTCCTCAAAGTTGAACTACTATAATGTTCCCTTCATTAGGATTTCTGGCCAAAGGCTTCAGAAACTCCAGCACATCCAAAACATTGCTGCCACAATCCTGATGAAGGCAAGAGAATATCACTACATTACTCCCATTCTGCAATCTCTCCATTGATTTCCTGATTCCACCAGGGTTGAATACAAATTCCCACTCCTGATAAAGCTTTTTGCTCTGCTGCACCCCACCTATGGCATTCCCTCCGAGACTATTTATGTTTCCAGCAGTTTAGATGGTATATGCTATAGTATGAAGTAGACATAACCTATAGTAGACTAATCTGAGAGATACTATCTATCTATCTATCTATCTACATACATACATATACTAGTTTTGTGGGATTTATTGTCAAAATATAACCTAATGTAGTGAGGCCTTCATAATGTTACCACACCATATAGACATCTTTGGCATATCTACTGCTCTGTATGCACAGGTGTATACAGGTCTGTATGCAATGCAGTTTAGTTTATCTCATGCCTTTTAAACATTTTTACATAATTACTGTATGTGGCACCAGAATTTGCTAGGTTGCCAATACCCTAAATCTCTTAGTCCTCAACCTATTATTTACTTTAAACCAATAAGCATTTAGTATGAAGGCCAAATCCCTTTGATTCTGGTCTTGTGCTGTCTAAAGCCGTATCATCAGGTGGCCGTTCATCTATTGTTCTTGTAGCCTGATCAAACTGATCCCAGAGCGGCGGGGGCCGGTTTCAGCACCGCGGTGAGCTCCGAGTCCTGCCTCTTCCTCCTCCTAAATCATCACATCACGTTTCCTCGTTTTCTCTTCCTGCGACCCCTCCCCCTCCTGACTGGCAGAGTTGGAAAGCTTGGAAATCACGCCACAAATTTTTCTTGCCAGACTGACTTGTCTGGCGGCAGTTTTCTTCTTGAGAAACATCATTCTGAGGCGCGAATCAGTCAGGCTTTGCGTGTCCACAGCGGCTTCAATCGGATCGGTCCCCCTGTGATTGTCACCGAAGCTGATCGGCATATTTTTCCTACTTTTGCAGTGGGTGTGATCTCCATCCGAACCTCAGCAGCATGTTGGACCCGTCTTCCAGCGAGGAGGAAGGGGATGAGATACTAGAGGTGGAGCGCAAAGAGGTGGCGGCCCCGAAGAGCACAGGTGGAGCAGAGACAAGGAGAAAGAGGATCTGGAGAAGATGCAAAGGGAAGAGGAGGAGAGGAAAAAGAGACTCCAGCTGTATGTGTTTGTGATGCGCTGCATCGCTTATCCGTTCAATGCAAAGCAGCCTACTGATATGGCCAGGAGGCAGCAGAAGGTAAGATCGGTGTAAAAAGAGAAACCCCCAAGCTAACTTCAGAGCTGTGTTTTAAACGCCTTTTTCACTTCAAACGCATCTTCAAAATGCATGACACCAACTGTTGCTTCCACAGTCGCACTATGTAGCTGGATGCCTTTCGACCGAATAGTCAAGGATGCAAAAATACAGCTGTTTACTTAGCCTTAGAGTTTTAGATAAATAAAACTTAATTTATTACACGCAAGATCCAAACCTTAATACTTTTATTATAATAGGTGGCAGTAGTCGCTCGGCTGTGATAAAGGAAGTCCATAAAGCATAGATCTACCAGAGGCATTGCTGAAACTACAGCAACTACAGATCTCTTCTTAATTAAAATATATACTTTTCTATAGCCATCCAACATCCTGAAGATGGGTAAAGCTAAACTGTGGTAGAAGCAATAAACATATTAATGAGAACTAAAGACAGGGTTGGTAAAAAAGGCTATCAGAAAACAGAGTGTGTGTGTGAGAGAGAGAGAGAGAGCAAAGGAAAGAGAGTGTGAATTAACGTTGTTCCCACCCACTGTAGTAGCTTCTGCATATGTGAATTGCCTCTGGGCATAAAAGCCTGGCTAGTCTCAAGCCTAGCTATTAGATCTTATTACACAGCTCCTCTTCATCATCTCTGATATGCTCCTTATAAAGAAATGACAATATATTTTATCAAGATATTTGACCTATGCATTGATTTGGTTGTGCTGCCAGACATTACATTTTAAAGATACACTCTGTGACTTCGTTGTTTTGTCAAAGGCACAAGGGTTTACAGCTATTCTGAATGGTCACACTTGAAAGGTAGGGTGACACATGTTGTTATGCAGAGAGGTGAGATGCAATAAATATTCAAATGCAGGGATAACTGTACATTTTGGACAGTCTTTGTGTCCAGGTGATACACTCAGCTACCACAAAACTGATGGAAGCAGTAGTGTAAAGTAATGGTGTGCCGTGAGGCAAGTCCAGGTGTGCTGTGGGATTTTGTGACAGCCTCATACACTGACACAAAAATGTATGAATACATTTTTATTTAGTATACGAGTACTTTGTACACACTCATTTCTCAATTCAGAGGCAAATCCTATAGCCTAAAAGAACATCCTAGGTAGAGCGGGTCGTTTCCTAACCAGAGGATTAGCGGTTCGATTCCCGGCTTGTCCAGTCAACATGTCGAGGTGTCCTTAAGCAAGACACTAAACCCCCAGTTGCTCCCGGTGATGTCACTAGTGTGTGAATGCGTGAGTGCTTGGGAGTGCGAATGGGTGAATGGCCGAATAATGTGTGAAAGCGCTTTGAGTGTGCTGTAAAAGCATAGAAAGGCGCTATACAAGTATAAGACCATTTACCATTAGACATTATCATGAAAGCTACCTGTCTTATGGCTTCAGCTTGACCAGGGATGTCAACAACCTTATTCCAACTCAGTGCATACTCTTCTCTGTTGATATGAATTTATTGTTCATATGCAAATGAGTTTTTATTCCCAGTGCAGCTCTCATCTTAGTTTGGTCTGTAAGGAGTGATGACATCTTGATGCTTCCCTCTCATGCCAGATCAACCCCTCCTCTCTCACTCACTTATTTGTCATGAGTAATTCAAAATAAACATTTATAGAGTGACAAGGCTGAGACATGTGGTATAGAGGCTATTTTCCATGGACATGTATACAGGTGTGCCTTCATTTTGGCTTGCCTGTTGGTGTGCTTTGGGCACTAAAACTACTGGTGTAATGAATTAAAAAGAGAGCTTGAGGGAGAATTTCAAAGCCTGCCTTTCACAACTCCACACACCTGGCCTATCATTGTGTAAGGGGGTAGGACTGCTAGAGTGTTTGTTAAAAAAGATACAGAAATTGTCCAGTGAGCAAAATGTGTATGTGTGTGTGTGTTAAAAGATTTTCAGTTTAAGCATACCAATATTTTAACAATGTTTGTGAACATGAGCTTTTTAGACCCCTAGTAGTACAGGCAATTTCTGCTTCATTCAGATGAAATACTGAAGTGATTCAAATTATTTTTTTCCTTCAAGTGACTCAAATTTGATTTTTTTTTCATTGACATGTGAACAAACCAAACATAATTTTTCAAATCAGGTGTGGCCATTCAGCCACTTTCACGAGTGGTCCTAGATCCCATTCATATCCAATATTTGACGGTGCGACCTCATGCAGAACAATCAAATCAGAATTCATGTGGATTTTTTTTTCAGTGTCTGACTCCTGTGTACATACGCTAATCGCCTGTTGTCATCATTCAGTGTCATCACAGACTCGTAAAAGTAAACACAGGAAAGCAACAGCAGCGATAGGTGTCAATGGAGAGATGAGAACATTTCACATTTGTTGGACATTTATGGAGAAGCCTCTGGTCACAGGAAGCTGGAAGGAAGATGTTGTAATTGAGCAGTTTTTGAAGAAACACAAATGACATTCTTGTATGCATGTGGCTCACATTTCAGTTAAAATGCTTGGCAGTTTAGGACCTCCAAAGTATTCAAACTGGAGCTGGATATACAGTACGTTGCTTTCAAACATGAACAGGAACCATCAACACAAAAATATCATATATGACAAACAGACTGGAACTGAGCATTAAGGTCTGTAATGTGAAATTAATTTAGGCGACACCATGGGCCTGGGCCTACACCTTGGGTAAATCCCAGTTCCCTTATTTGATTGTTCCTTGCTTGACTAAGAAGTTGTCCTGGTCCAGCATCATGAAGGACATCCCAGAGCTCTTACTCCTGCTCTGAGAAGCAAGGATTGAGGAGCAAGGAAGCTGCTAGAGGAGTCATGAATAGGGACACAAAAGACCATTCTTTGATAAAAGTCTTTTATGGACTGACACTCCCCACTTACGGAAATCAGTTGGTGATTGGACGCTTCAGATGAAGGATCAGTGGAAAGAATGTCTCATGTCTGTAAAACGTGTTTCCTCAGTTTCACTTTCCCTGTGTTTCTCCGTCACACCTTATGTGGACAGGACTAAGATGCAAAAAAAAGACTTAAATGAGGGAAACATGGATGCATTTAAGAGAACTGGGACTTAACCCCTTGTCTACACCAGTTACATAGTGAAAGTTCCATGTCAGCTGGAGCAGGTGCAGTTCTCTAATGGTGTCTATACCCAGTGATCCATTCATCTGCACTACTGCTGTGCCATACTTGGACAAATTTTGTCAGCACTCAGATTAGTTACAGGGTTTCTGCAATGTGACCAAATCACATCTCTGCCATGGTGCCAGTGTGCACTGAAAGCATTTAACATTGCAAGGCATTCAAATATGACTTTTACTGAATTGATTACCTCTGCCTCTCTCCTTCTGTCCCTCCCATTGTATGCATTAATGTCCCCTGAAAGTGACCCCCCCATTCAAGGAGGTCCTGAAGATTGGTAGTCTCTAAAGGCTTCAATACTGGCTGCCCTTACAAGCAGTAAATAACTGAGTGCAGGTTTAGTAGTAACTTGATTTATCACGTCATGTAGAATTGCTGTTAACAGATGGCGCTCTAACCATAAAAAAATTCAAATACCCAGGAAAAAGACCCAAGTTAGGGAAGCATCACTGTTGCGTCCAGTTACTGAAATAAGAGAAAAATCACTGTACAAGTGTGTAATTTTGTCTAAAGCCACCACTCCAATGTCACCAAAATCTGTCCCATAATGGTGTTTGCATGTTTAGATTGTCTAGGAAGCAGAGTGTGCCTGTGCTGAAAAGTGTGATATATTTTATGGCCCTGCTCAGAAGCAGATCCCAGAGCATGCTACTCTGTCCCCTATCTGACCATCTATGTCACTACTTTCTGACTGGCAGAGAAAACTTGAACAGCACGAAGTATCTCAGCTGAGGAAGGACATGTGCCATCTTTAAGGCAATAGAGGTGACAGTGGTGCAGTGGGTAGCGCAACTGTCTCCCAACCGGAAGGTGGAAGGTTTGAATCTCGGTGCCAGCAGTCGCAATGTCCTTGAGCAAGACACTGAACCCACGCCCCGCCCCCTGCCCCGATGGTTAGAGCCATTGATTTAGTTGGTGCCGCAGATGGCTGCCTCGGTTCTGTACCGGAAACAAATTCCTTGTGTGTAACATATTTGGCCAATAAAGGTGATTATCCTTATCCTTGAAGAAGGAGACAGTAGTGCATCATGAAGATATAAAAGGAAGCCAATTAAACAGCTAGGTTTGCTGACTCCATGTTTGCTCTGCTGTGTGTGTCGTGGGTAAAATCAATGCACAGGGAAAATTACTGTACCGTAATAAGCTAATACAATGACACACAAAATACAGCTAACAAAATACAGAGGGCTTGCAGAGATTAGTTATTAACTGACTACTGAACATAGTAACTACATGTAATCTACACTCTTACTATATTATATTTACTGTAGCTTGTTCACTTTAATCACTACAGAATCCCCTCCTCCCGTAGTTAGAAAGACTACGGAACTTCTAGACATTGTAGAACAAACACTTATAGAAAAATGAAAAGAACATTCATAAACACATTTATCTGAATACATCACTTCCTAATCCTAATCAGTTAGCCAAATTAACACCACTATTTACTAATTAAACATCCTCCTACCACATTCAGAAGTGAAATAAAAATCAACTTTCATTACAGAGATAAACTTTTAACCTTACCAGAGCAGTTCTACACTAATCCAACTCCCTACACTCTAAAAAAACATGCTCGTAAGCACAATAAGTACTCCATTAACATGGCAAAACTTCCTAATTTGACATATGACACTCTGAAAATAAACAGAGACAAAGAAAGAAAGAATAACCAACCAGGTGATCCTCCTTCCCCCACACACAACAACACAGTTTCAATTATACACATGCCTGTACTGTAAAACAAACAGCTTCAATGCAAACACTTTCTGACAGCTTGACACAGGTCTTTACATCAAGGCACTTCTCGGGCAGACTCAGGCAAAAAAAACCCCACGAAGCACGTTCATTTTTGTAATCTG